ATTGGGTATGAGCTATTAGGTAAAAAACTTATCACACAATAATAAACATTTTAAATTATCAATATATTTTATAATAAATTTTAAAATTTATATTGATAAAAAAATGTGTTACTAAATAGAATATATATTAGCAACGAATTTATCAACAATTTTTTACAAAATAATTCACATTTACTAAATTTACTAAATATTTATTTTTTTGTTGATAAAATTTTATCAATAATTTGATTTTTTTTATAGTGATTAACCGTTGACAACGAGTTAATTCAAATGGTTAAACTTAGAAAACAAGTGCCCCCTACTTGTATTTCTTAATTTCACAATCAAACAGTTTATAATAGATTGAAATGTCTTAAAGTAATATTTTTTTTTTCGGAAAAAGTAATAAAATAAGAAGTGCTCTATTTATAAATTAATATTTTCAAATATTAAAATAAAAGAGTGGTTGAGATCTCATGTGTGTCTTCTTTAAGTTAGAGAGGATTTACAGGTCATATTTAGAAATTTTGACTTTCTATAAATTAATAAGCTGACTTTGGAGTTTCACATATTTCTTAATAGATCTTGGAGTACTATTTTCATAAGAAGAATATAAAAAAACTGAAATTATTTTTTCTATAAATTAAAATGAATTGATCTATACATAAACTATTCGTAATGAGTTTTTATATGAGCAACTTGGTGCTAATATAAAAATGTCAATTTCACTTAACTTTACGTGTCAACCTTTTTTATCTATAAATTCTAATAAAGTTATCAGGCCCTTGCAGTAGATTTTAGTTTTCCATTAAAATAAATAAAAATATTCTTACAATTTGATAATTAATCCAATGAAAACGTTGAATTAATAAGTTAATGGTCGATTTATTAAATTAATGATTTACCCACTTGGCTCAATCTGGTTAAAAAGCAAATGATATTTTATGTTTTATAATTGAATCATGTTAACATTTCTTTTTAACAACTTTTTGATAATAGACTATATATCATTATTTTAGTGGTATAAGAATGAATCACAAACTTCCACATAAGTGATTGTAAAAAAATTGTTAAAAATACAATTTTTTTTATAATTTGATAAAGAAAAATGTTCTTTTAATAACTTTTTTACATTTATGTGATAGCTTATGATTAGTCCGTTTTAAATATTCAAACCAACGAAACAATGACACCTTCCATTATCAAAAATTGTTAAAAAAAAGTTGTTAAGGAATGCTCAGTTGATAAATTCAACTAAGTATCAACTTGTATATCCCTACTTAATTATCTTAAAAATATGAGCAAACCATTCTTATAAATATCTCCTCCTCATGACAATGTATTCCACACACTTTGGAAGTCTTAATTTCCTCACAAACATGGAGGGACGTAGTTTAAACTGTCTAATGTTTGTTTTGCTTGGTTTGACTATTGTGAACACAGGAGAAGTTAGTGGGCAAGGGACGCGTGTGGGGTTCTATTCCCGCACGTGTCCACGAGCTGAGTCCATTGTTAAGTCCACTGTTCGAGATCATCTTAAGTCCGATCCTAGTTTGGCAGCAGGGTTGCTTCGGTTGCACTTCCATGATTGCTTCGTGCAAGGTTGTGATGCTTCCGTTCTCATCGAGGGTCCTCAAACCGAGAGAACAGCATTGCCAAACCTTAGTTTAAAAGGATTCGAGGTTATTAATGATGCTAAGACACAGCTCGAGGCTGTCTGCCCCGGCGTTGTGTCATGCGCCGACATTCTTGCTCTTGCAACTCGTGATGCTGTCGACCTTGTAATTAACTCAAAATCATTAATGATGTTCGTGACCTTGTTATTACATTAATTGTTTATGATGTGATGATTTGGTGTATATTTTGCATGGCAGAGTGATGGACCGAGTTGGAAAGTGCCTACTGGACGTAGAGATGGACGCATATCACAGGCTTCAGAAGCGAATAACTTGCCTTCTCCTTTCGATTCTGTTGCTATTCTGACGCAGAAGTTTGCAGCAAAGGGTCTCAACACTCAAGACCTCGTAGTCACTTCTGGTACTTGTAAATGCAAATACAATCTTATAGACAAATGATAGAGTTAATGATGAGTATTTTGGTATGCAGGTGGACATACAATTGGTACAACAGCTTGCCTATTCTTCAGGCACAGACTGTACAACTTCACCGGAAATGGTGGTCCTGACCCTTCCATTGACCCTACATTTCTTCCCACACTACGAGCACAGTGCCCTCAAAGTACAGGTGCTCAAAACCGTGTTGCACTGGATACTGGCAGTGAATTCGAATTTGATAGATCTTACTTTAAAAATTTGAAGAATGGACGTGGAATTTTGGAGTCTGATCAATTGCTTTGGACTGATGCTTCCACGAAGACGTTTGTGGAAGAGTACTCCGACTCAGCGCTGCGTTTCAAATCGGACTTTGCAAAGTCTATGGTGAAGATGGGCAACATTGAGCTGAAGACGGGTTCTGATAGTGAAATTCGAACCATATGTTCTGCCATTAACTAGCTACTTATGACTATCCTCTCTTCTCGTAGATTTATAGGCAAAGAAACCTATTTAGTTTTTATTTGGATGCCTAATCAATTAATTAATGAAATAAAAGTCATTTGGCTGGAGTAACAACATTCCAGTAACACATTTGTACCAATATATAGCTGATAAATTTAAGTGTTTAATTTTTTTTACCAAGTAAAGATTAAAATAAAAAATTTACACGTGTATAATATTTATATGCAAAACAAGAGAAGTCCGTGTAAGAAAGAACAATTATTTTTGAAAGAAGTAATTCGTTGTCTCTATTTTATATCATTCAAAAAAAATTATATATATGTACATTTGTATCAATTAATTTAAAAAAAAAAAATCATTTTCCCTTTCTCGAGACTATATGAAGGCCAATCGATGCAAATTTGGTAGCCAAAATTCAAGCAAAAAGCTAATTCACAAATGGTTTCTTCATATTAAAGAGAAGAGAGAAAAATGAAAAGAGTGAAAAAAATAAAGTTCAGAAATAATGATTGATTTGACTGATTTGTAAATAAAATAAAAATTTTAATTTATGTTAAAAAAATAATTTTTAAGAATAGTTTGATGTAAAACAATTTTTTAAAATATAAATTAAAGTTAAAAATTAATTAAATCAATTAAAAGAAAAATTATTATCAAATCTTAATAAAAAAATAAGTAATGTTTCAAAATAATATATGAAAATTAATATCTATTTTTAAATTATTTTATTTTATTTATTATGTTAGTATTTTATTTAGTTATATATTTTTATATTAAAAGAGGGTTAATGCTTCTACATTTAATATATAATATTATAGTATATGAATAAAATATTAATCATATAATTATTATAAAATATAAAATTAATAAAATCATTTTAAAGATAATCCATCGTATCTTAAATATTTTATATATATATATATATATAATCGATTTTTATTTGAAAAACTCATAATAATAAATATGGTGCGTGAAAAACTTAGATGTAGATTGGTGTACTTGATTAAACTTGCAGCCATACAGGTCTGTGTAAGGAAAAATCCTTTGACACTACTGTTAAATTTATACATCCATATAAAAATTGTGAATGATAATATTATATTATATTAAGTTATTTAGCTTAAATATAAATTAAATTATTGAATAGAAAAATAATAAAATGAATAGTAGGATAAGGGTATTAAACAATGTCAACTGATTAGGTTCATAGTGAAATTAATTTATCGTTTTAACTGACCTTCCTTCATTCTTAATTGATGCATTCACGCAACATAACTCAGATATTACATAGGATGGACCCGAAACCCACAAATTATTCTTAATTAAAATCCAATAAGCAATCGAATCTAGTGTGGATCTAAGTAATAATATGTTACATATTAAATTACTCACTGTAACATGAAATGTACACAAAAATAATACAAGAAAATATATATTTTTCCATTAACCTTGTATCACTGCAGCATTTTGAACTATTTTTTAAGCTTGGAAGATTTCTTTGCTTGTTTATTTTAGGCTGAGTACCCTATTTTGTCCCCAATTTCGCTCGAAAATGTCAAATTACTCCATCCTTTAAAAAATGCGTCAATTACGTCCTCACTTAATAAAATTTGCATCAATGAAATTCCTTTCGTTAAATCCGTACAAACGGCGTTAATTATTTTTCTCTCTTATTAAGTAACGCCGTTTGTACGGATTTAACGAAAGGGATTTCATTGATGCAAATTTTATTAAGTGAGGACGTAATTGACGCATTTTTTAAAGGATTGACTAATTTGACATTTTCGAACGAAACTGGGGATAAAATAGGATATTAAGCCTTTATTTTACTTTAAATAGAACACTTTTGGTATCTTCCATCTCGAATCTAACTGATCTTAGAATAAGGACGGTTCGCTAATAAAAATATTCGTGTCCTGGGAAAGTGGGGGAATATAAATCAATTATTTAAAGAAAGTTAGATAAAAAAAGGTATATAAGGGAAAAGGATATATAAAGTCACATGGAGTGAGGTGCTGATTCAGTACATTCCATTTTCCATAGTTAATGCCCTTTCAGTGCATACAGCCATTTCAGACAGGCTTCGCAAAAGGTTTGCAAGGCTCAAAAATTCAAAATCCCATTTATATGTTTTGTTTTATATATACACTTAAAAAGTGAATATTTATATATTTTTATTTTATTTTTAGTTTAAGTAAAAAATTTAACGAAATTTTTGTAGATATATTGTTCTGCTCACTGTTAAATCATTATCAGATAATTTATTAATGTCTAATTTTATATATGTGATATATATACTTCGTGAGAAAATGATAGAAATTTTATATCTACTAAAAATAAAATTAATTTGTAATATATAACTAATTTTAATAACATGCATAAGTCGTAAAATACAATCCTGTCATTTCTCTTTCTTCTCATCTCACTCAAGTGAATAAAGTGGGAAAAAAACGCAGATAATTGAAATACTGCATGTGAAAAGTTAAAGCTTTTGCAGAAGTAAAAGAGAAACGCAGAGAATTGAAATAGTACTGCATGAGAAAAGTTAAAGCATTGCAGAAGTAAAAGAGAAAAGCAGAGTAGAGATGATTAAGTGTTGGAAGGAGCTTTGTAGTTCTGAAGAGCAAGAATGCAATCGTCGATGTACTGATTGTGAATGTATGTGGAACTGAAAAGCTTTCCCATCTGTTTGGCGTTATTTCTGTAACTGCTTCCTTCTTCATCCACCATTGCAAACCTCAATGTCTTAGCCACAGACTCCCTCGTAAAGGACCCATCTTCCTTGCTCCTTGCTACCTCAATTCCCACCTTCTTTTCTTCCACCACCCTGGAAAACAGCGCTTGGTCTAGCAAATACGGAATAGTCACAAGAACATGCCCAAAATTAAGCATTTCAACCAGAGAGTTGGTGCCGCAGTGAGTAATGCATCCCCCAATAGCTGCATGGCCTAAGATCTTAGTCTGGGGTGCCCAATTCTTCCAAACAAACCCACGATCCTTTGTTCTCTCCTCAAACCCCTCTGGCAATTCAGCTGAATCCCCTTTCACCTTCTTCAAAGCCCAAAAGAAAGGCAACTTTGAAAACTCAATGCCATGAGCCAACTCAGTAAGGTCTTCCTGACTCAGCTCCAACTCGCTCCCGAAAGCTATATACACCACGGATGAGGACTCTCTCGAGTCCAACCACTCCTTGATTTTGACCCAGTCGCGGTTTCTGTCTTCCTCTCCAACATCCTTTATCTGTATGGATGGTGGAACCAAACCCACCGGAATCACGGGCATGTTGTACCTGCGAGCGAGATAATCCAACCATTCTCCTTCCAGTTCTCTGCATGTCCTCAGAAGAAACACGTCACAGCTGGAATACACCTTTCCGAGATCGAAAGAAGCAGTACGACCTGTGTCAACGTCTTTGCCAGAGTTCATTGCTCTTATTATTTCGTAAGGCCTGAGATGAAGGGTTGTTTGGAAAGGAAGCCAGGTAGGGTTACACATGTCGAGAATAGAGAAATTTTTTTTGTTGAGTACTTCCTTGGGTGGATCGTAGAACACTTTGTTCCATGCTGCGGTTAAGTTGTAATGTGCACAGGGAATGCCGAGACTCTTGGCTATTGCGGGTAACCACTCGGTTGAAAAATCGTAGAAAACCCAATCAGGCCTTGAAGTTTTGAGCAACTCGAACACAGCATCTTGGAGACCATCATAAGCTAACTTGAGGTGACTGCTCTTTGATTTGGGAATGTCCATGCTACTCTCTGCGCCTTCTGGGAGATGCTCTGTGTGTGGTAAGGGTAACCTCACCAATTTAATGAATGGTTGTAAGGGTTGAGGGATTTTGGGCATGCGATCGATGTTTTTGGGAGTGCTTATGAAGGTGACAGAGTGACCCTTTTGAGCAAAAATCTTTGCGAGCTCCGAATAAGGATTTACGTGACCTGCTGCCAGCCATGGGAGCATTGCAATGTGCAGAGGCTTCTGCACTTTATCATTGCCGAGAGGGAGAGAATCCATGAGTGTTTGTGTTTTGTGGTTGTTTTGGCTTGGCTTGGAGTTTTGGTGGATGTTAACAGTGTATAAATACCAGTAAAAAAATGGGCTTTTAACGCGCTATACACGTCTATAAAAGCGCGGTGGCATAATTGTAAATTTGGGGAAGAAGATATGCCTCGCAAGAGATCCTATACCTCGGCTGAGTCAGAAACCAAAGCCTAAAGCACTGCCACGTTGCATCTGCTCTAATGCAAATCGGCGGACAGCTTTTTTGAAATCATTTACTGCCTCGGTCACAGTGAACCGAAGCGTAAACTTTGCCACGTAACCTACTTTTCTGCAATTCCTCTACACATCTCTGCAGAGCAGTTAACAGCAATACTGCTTCAGTTATCAGCAGAACCGAGGCAGAAAGCGTAAGCTATGGCATTATAGTCATTATATTTTTTATTTTTTTGTTATTTTCTGCTAGTATAGACACCCCGATTAGTATTAAAAAAGCAGTATACTTTTATTACCTCGTGTAGGTTTCTAAAGCCTCAGCCCACCGCGACTGTTCCATTCTTCTCGCTCAAACTCTCGCCTGTCGCTCTCAGTCACCGTCGCCACCACTTTATAAGCCTACTTTTCTCTTGCTTCTATCTTCTTCACTCTCCTTTGTCAGCTTTCTTTTCCGATGTTGCATAGTAAATCTATGAATTTCTAATAGTTTATTTAATTTCTAAAAACTAATTTACTGAAAAATAGTTTTTTTTAGGAAGTGAAGTGTTATGCTATGATTATGGTCACATCTCCTAAGATATAACCCTCCACGAGCACCTCGCCTTGCAACTACTAAATTATTTTATTTCCTTCACTAATATTTTATTAATTATTTTATTTCCTTCACTAATATTTTATTAACGTGTTTCTGAAAAAAAAGTTATTGTGCACTGACACATGATTAAATTGATCTGCTAGACAGATTGTTGCTCTGTTCAAGTAATATTTAAATATAAACTCATTCCAATCCTTCACGGCTATGGCAGTGTTTTAAAAATAGAAAAAGTTTATTTTAAGACATTTCTACGTTCATTTCATTTCTTTTCATTATATTTTATTTTTCCATAATAAAAGATATGTCAAATGTCTATTATTCTTAACAATATTATCAATTAAAAGTGATTTTTTAAGTAATTTTTATACTCAAAAAATTGTGTTAGGTTGTATTGAAGAAACATTGCATCATTATTTGTTGCCTATGAGAAAATAGAAAAAAAAGTTATATTTTATTTTTTAAAATTAAGTTTACTCAAATGTTAAAATTTACAATAATTGATATGTTTTAAAAATTTAATAAAATAAAATGATTGTTTTTATCAAAATTTGTGATTGTAAAAAAAATTGAATTAATTAGTTTTAATCAATAATCTCTTTTAATATAAAAATGATCGTTTAAAGAAAATATATTTCCTTTGTTTGCTTTTGTCTTTTTTGTTAGGCTTTTGCTTCAAATAATAAATTTGAGAGAAAAAACGAATGTATGAATTTAAAGAAATAAAAAGAGGAAATTAATATATTTTTTAAGGGATTTAAAATAAAATTAAAGGTGGGTGATTACAGCAACAACTGGAAGGTTTCACCATGAGTGGGAAGAATGAAGATGTAGAGGTTTCTTTCACCATGAGTGGGATTCAAGCCATTCAACCTAAACTCTTCTAAAATAATCAACCTTCCAATAATTCAATACTTTATTAATTCAACAATAACTACTGCTAATTAAACTTGCTTTTCCAAACCCCAGAAAAGCACATGATTATTATGTAATTGTAAACACAATGTAAAAATAATCATTATTTTATCGATTTAGTAATTTTTAATCATGTAATTCACCTAAAATGTAATATTGTTTTGATGGTTTTTGTCATAATCTTTTTTTATTGGACTTTGTCTTTTTATTTTAAAATGCTTAATGTTTTTGACAATTAAGTCTCACTTTGACTATACTAAAGCATATTAATTATGCGTATAATACTAAGGTTATATTGTTTTGTTATATAATTCAAAAAAACTATATTGTATATATAATTTGGAAATTAATGGAAGAGATAAAATATTTTAGCTATCACTTGAAATGATAAATTTTTTTTGTTAGGATTATGAGGTGAATATATATATTTTATTCAGAATTTTTTAATTCTTGTGGTGATTTTTAAGACTTATTAAATTTGTGACACATGATTTTATATCCCTTTTTCGTCTAGTTCCACACGTTAACTTTTATTTTTCAATTTTACAAAAGTTACATATTTTAAAATTTATCAATTATACTATTATTTTCTAAATTTTATACTTGTTCATCTAATGTTGTTTCGGTAACATGAGTTACGTCTCACACCTTAATTAGATCCAAAAATATTTAGGAATTTAATTTCATAATTTATTGAAAAACACATAGAATCGAATTGAGCTACTCTAATATGAACAAAATCAAATCAAGTTATTAAAAATAAAAATAATTTATTTAATTTTAGGTATTTTTTAAAACAAATAATTTTAATTTGTTTTTAATTATCAATACTTTCGTATAAACATATATAGCTCAACTCAAGCTGTCATTTGTACAGTATTACTTGGCTTTTGCCCTTGCAATCTTTAGACAAAACTATTTTAAATCATTAACTCACTAGTCAAATATTCTCTCAATAATCACTTTGATTTCTAGAGAATTGATTACCTACCCTGTCAATCAAATCAATCTCTTGACTTTATTTTCTAAACTCAATCATGTACTTTTCTAATGTTTTCATGAAATTTTTTGTTGATCACACTAGCTAATGTCATTGAGATTCTGCAAATTGTCCGTTACGTCTAGATAAATCACTCTCAAAATATTATCACTTCATCTTATTCCGATACTTTCAAATGCATTCTTTAAATCTTCCAATTGCCTTTTTATCATCTCTGTGATAACTCATAGTTCTTGATAATTCTTACGATTAATTGCTTATTTTCTTTAGATTCTATTGGTCTACCAAGGCCAAGAAAAAGAAATGGATAAAGAGATAAAATCGTCAGAAAGCAAAACTTGCCAAACTTAGACCCACCACCACTGAGTTATGATAGTATCATTTTCTTACAAGATAAAAGGAGACAACAGATTAATATATATTGGGATTATTTAGATGCTTACTTCAGCATATGGTAGGTATGTGGAAACGTACCAAAACTGTACAACAAGAGTCTGACTGAAACCTGTGAGTGCTCCAACAATGAGTGATTAAAAATAAGTCATCACTTGTTTTTACTTGATGCACTCTTGTGTGTGCGATATTGCTGGAGGAGCATCTTAGAATTTCTCAATGAATCTAACGAGTAGCAACTAATATGTAAGGGTGGGTGTGGGCAAAGTGGAACAAGCACTCACAATCAATAAGATGGCTATAGAGTGAATACCAAGGTTATGAGCATGAAAAAAAGAACTAGCTCATAGTTTTAGGAATGTTGCTCACTGGGCCTTATGTGGATGGAATTCACCTTTTCAGTGGAAAGATGTTCCTCAACTCTTGGTCCACAAAAGATGGAGTACGGTAGTGCTTCCACTTCCACACATGTGTGATATGTTATTATCCGTAGGGTTTATCTATTAGAAAGTGGGTTTAAGTCCAACTCAGTGATTCGAGAATGATCCGACAACGGATGAAACAAAATGTCCACATAGATCTATTTAGGATAGGCTTGTAAGGTGAGATTTGTACCTCACTTATATATTATAAAAATCGGCTTGTAAGGTGAGCACCCCACTTATATATTATAATTTGACCTTATCTCTAGTCGATGTGAAACTTTTAACATTATCAAGAATAAGGTTCACTGGAAAGATATAAATATATAAAGGATTGACATCATTCTCTAACTAAAACCTTAACAATAAGTTAACGGGTCTTTCATCTTTATACAGTGATCTATTTTCTTATTTTTATCCAACGTAGAACTTATACTCACACTTGTATTCTCATATCCTCAATATAATATAATTTTTTTTTGTTGACATAAACCTTATCCAAAATTGGTACAAGTATTATTAAGCTGATACCAAAACCTTCTGATTCAGATTAATGTTATCATGTTATGGTACGAGAATATGAAGCCATAAACGGTAAAGGAATTTGAATCCAGAACTAAACGTTTCGGTTGTTGATAACTAGTTTGGTTGAGTTCTGTTGGTACCAACCTCACATAGCCCATATGTCTACTTCATTGCCAGTCTCAACTGATGCCAGTGCAAGAAGAAATGTACTTAGGTACCCTTTCACGTTCCTATTTTATGAAGCACAATATAGCAGTTAACATATAAAACATATAACGACTTACAAGAAAGACACCGTCCAAAGTTGTACTGTAAATAGTAAATATCTCTAAGATTTAAGGTAATGATGTCTACTTCAAGTTAAATAAATATTACTGCCGAACTTCTAAATCAGAAAAGACATCAATCAACTGCAAAATTATAATTAATTAATGTTAGGATGAGTTATAAGCAAGGTGTAGTTCACGTACTTTATTTTTGTTTCCTTAATAATTGGTTAATCATATAAATAATGTTGTGTTGTAGTTTCCTTGGCTCCACCAAGTGAGGGGAGTAAAATAGTTATATATTGATACAATCTATTGTTGTAGAAATAGAATTTGTGAGTTAGTTAAAGTCCACCTTCCAAAGAAATAATTGATTGCTTTGCTTGATGTATGTGCAGTTCCCACTGTGCTACTCCTGCTTATTCATTCATTGCATAGCTAGGCAGAAGCATATGGGTTGAGAGTGAAACAAAAAGTCCCTCCCATATTTTATTCTCAAAACATACTATAATTGCTGATAATTATGAACCATATAAAGATACACTCCAAGAGGTGGGTCATCCCAGTTCAATTGGCCTAAAACCAAACCCATCTTAATGTCTGTGACACATACTACCGCAGGTGAATGATGTCAGCATGAAGTGTGATCATCATCGTATTATCGTTATCTTTAATCAACGTGAAACTTTCAACACATTTTTTAATCT